ATTTTGACAATTTGTGTTCACAGCAACGAAAATTTCAATTTAAAATATATGAAATTTTGTTTATACAAAATGACATAAAATTAAAAATTAAATTCCAATAAAATTAGTGGACCCAAAATATATATATATAAAAAAATAAAAATTATTGGACAATTTTCCATAAAACCTGTGTTGGACATAAATAATGGTGGGGTTTAAGAATAGTTAGAGACAAAAAAAACGAAAATAATGACACAATAACCACCTCTCCCACCACGTGGATCGCCGCCAGAATCCAATTAAAATATGATAGATCCAATTTATATACAATAATTAAGTTTTAATTGATAATCTAGCTATTACAATTATACGAAATCTTTTTAATTCTATTTTCTTTAACCATAAGTCGCGGGGCTATGGACTATGAATTTATTGTATGATATTCTAATATATTATATATATATATATATATATATATATTTAAATAAATGTGACGGTAAAATTTTATTTTTTGTCACGCCAATTATATATTAGTATTGTATAAATCTAGTGATCTGAACAGCTAAGCATAAACAAAGTCGAGCTGTTCTCAATTTTCTTCTCCCACAAATGACATATTGGATAGGTTTTGTTTGGCATCTTCTCAGTTCTAAATTTTGTTTTCTCAAAAGAAGATATCATACATATGATAACACAACTACCTATGGTCAACACGAGTCATGTGGGCTCATTGCCACGGTTCGATATCGGCCCGAATTGACTTGTGGTCAACGATAGGCCGTGACCCGTCTGGTGTTTGGTGCGGGCCGGCTCTGTCGGTTCATGTTCTTGAGAAAAATTGAACCAAAATCAAAACTACCAGCAATTCGACATCGAAATTCAAATTTAAAGTTTGATTTTTTTTTTCTCCAATTTTTCCGATTCCGAACCAGACTTGAATCGCTGTGGCCAATTCCAGTTCAACCGAAAATTGAACCGTGAAGCGACGGTTCCAAACCAAAATCCGCCAAAACTGCCTTTTTCATTATGTGTCTAGTAAGCACATATTAATATGTCAGACGAGGCAGGAGAGTTATAACTTATAGTTTTGACTCGAGCGCTTGCGAGCGACTCGTGAGCAGCT